CATTTCTAAGACCTCTTATTATTCCCGTTTTTCTCCTGCAGACACTGGAAATTGAAATGTCACTTGTAATCTCATCAAGGTGAATCAGTGGCGTGTGAGATGATTTCAGTGTGTTTATTGTGCCGTCAGCTGCTGGAGCCGTGTGGTTCAATCCGATAACGCTCACATTTGACCTCACAGTATGACTTAATTAGCACAGAGGAACCACATCTCACAGATCCCAAGTTTCATGCATGTGACCATTTTTGTTAAAGGGGTCTATCATGAAAAACATACTGAAACATTTCTCAAATTTGTGTACAATTATTTTTAAATCGTTTAAAACTAAATTGCAAAATTGACTAAAATGATGGAGGAATAATATAATTTAGCCTATTTATTATTTAAAAAATGTATATGACCACTTCTTTAATATAATGGGTGTTGCAAGTGAAAGTTCCTACTATCGAATGTATGTCAGACATATGTGATTCTATTATACTGGAATTAAATTAGAATTACATTTTAATCTGGCCAGTGGTGTCATTTCCTAGAAATGTGGTTACAGAGAAGGCATTAGACATTTATTATTAGTATTTTATTGGCTTTGTGAACATTACCTACAAATGAAAGCATAATGAAACCCATTTTCTTTAAGGTGTTTATACTTGCATTTCTTTCTTTTTTTTACGTTTTTCCTTGCAGAAGTAGTCTTAGATTAACCTCTCCCCTGCGAATCTCCTGAGACCATTTAGGGATGATTATTATTCCCAAATAATGTCAGTGTCTGGTTCTGTTAACATGAGTATGTTGCAAACAAATGCAACTAAATTTAGAAAGTCCTTTTCTATGTGAATAAGGTTTTGCATTATTGTACTGATTTTATTAGATGCAAAGATCTGTTGTTTTGTTGCCAGTAGGCAGCAGTTTGCTTAATGAATAATCCTCCCTACTTGTTTCAGGGGTTCAGACAGCCTCTAGGTGGTGAGAGGTCAGTTTTAGACCAGTAACATCAACAGACCTCCCAAAATATCCATCCATTGATGAAGCTCCCCAAGGCGGGTTTGGGCTCTAGACAATGTCAGTCAGAGTGAAGACTGAAGGATCTTGTCTGTCGGTGTCATTGGTAACAGCTGTAGCTGAAATTTAGTGTTGAGTTGGACCAACCGTTCATACAGTAAGCTTTTCTTACTTCAATTGGAAGTAAAGTCCGCACTAGGGGCTTAGTAACTATTAGCTAGTTTGTAACTCTGTACTTAATTTGGTTGCACTGTTAGTTCTTAAGGCAGAGTGTAACTTAGCTTGTAACCTCTCCATAAATACCTTCAATACCTTTAATGATTCAACAGCAGCCTTGAAATTCAAGAGTTCCTCACATTACTAATGGTAAAAATAATGGTTTCCATTGAAATATGATAATTGGCTAATCATAAAGTAACATATGTCTTTTTATATGTAAGTGACATTAAGAAAGCCAATTTGAAATTAATAAGGAGCAATAACAACAACAAAAGGAAAACATAAGAAATGGCATTTATTTATTATGATTGATTTTATTTGGCATGGACAACATGGAGTGATGCACACAAGAGGTCTGCTGTTTAGATTGGATTTGTGTTGAAGATCTGCAAGTCATTTATTCGCATGTTCTCTCTTTTAAAATGTAAATAAGTGTAAATGTCAGCATTATCATATGTCTAAAGGATTGAAGTTTATCAGGTGAAACATGAGTTTATTGATGCATTTCAGTCAATCTGCAATTTTATGCCAAACGTTAATCCTGATCTGAGGCTTCCATAAATATTTATTTGTATGTAGAGTTATGTTTCAACTAAATTTAAAGGTGCATTGAAAAGAAAACATATAGTAGTGTGTAAGTTGTAACTTATTGCCCGTACACATCGCAGCAAGGCCAAGTTGTAACTTATGCCCTGGGAAAGTTAACGGTAACAACTAAAGGCTGACACAAGCCAACAGTCCGTCATCAGCGAACATTGGTCCGTTGTTGAGCATCTGTCAATCCACTTTTTGTGGTGTGTTGCGCAATGTCGGCACTAGTAGCAGCTGCTTTTTGGCTGATTTCGCATGTTGAATCGGCAGCGGGCAGTCAGTGAGATAGATCACTCTAATTGGCTGTTCTGCTTAGCGAATCAGTTCACGAGAAAAAAAAGCATGTTGAAAGCGAGAAAATTACAATGTCAAGCAGACACACAGAGAAAACTGTTCTAATTTTACGCCATCTTACCCGAGCATCTAATACATATTCAAAATGGTAAGCAAATTCTGCTTTGTTTACGTTTTTTAGTTCCGCAGTCCTGATTTCGGTTTCTCTTTTTGAATAACGAATATAGACTATTGCCACCTGCTGATATATACAGTTATAGGGATAGTTCACCCAAAAATGAAAATTCTGTCATTAATTACTCACCCTCATGTCGTTCCAAACCCGTAAGAGCGTTGTTCATCTTGGGAACATTTTTGACTTTATGATGATAGGACAGTTTAGAGTTGACAGGAAGTCAGAGAGAGGGGGTGGGGGCAGGATCAGGAAAGGTCCTCGAGTTGGGATTCGAACTCAGGACACCCATGGCACGCTGCACACAAGGCTATCGGCGCCGACCACATGGACTATTTTAACGTGTCTTTACTACCTTCCTGGGCCTTGAATGTAGTAATTGTTTTGCTGTCTATGCAGGGTCAGAAAGCTCTTGGATTTCATCAACAATATTGTAATTTGTGTTCAGAAGATGAACGAAGGTCTTAGGGGTTTGAAACGACATGAGGGTGAGTAATTAATACAGAATTAAAATTTTTGGGTGAACTATTCCTTTATTCCTCTTATGCAGAGGCAAAACATTTTGTTTTGCTGTAGTCTTTGCGGTGTGTTCAAGTGCGACTTTTTTAGCCCAGGCACAACACAGTTGGCTTTCGTCACTTCTAGTTTTTAATGGTCAGTTTGGTGTGTCACGACCTTAAGAGCTCAAGATTTTTTGCATTAGCCCTCCTGCTGGTTGATCCTGTAACTATGGCTGCAGAGAGCATCTTTCTCCATTGACTGACTAAAGCCCATTGAGTTGAATGGGAATGCAACCAGATCTTCAGATATTGCACACCTCCTTAGCATATTCATCCAGCCTGGATTCACGCAGAGGCTTAGACACCATAGACTGTATAACCAGACAGTGATTCAGCAGTATGACTCAGTGTTTGTTGTAGACAGTCTAGACTAGCTGTGAAAAGATGTGCGAGTGTGTGCTGAATCATGATTAAGTATTTTAATGCTTTATTTGATACAAGAGAGTCATTGGTTCCAGCATTTGTTCTGCTGAAGCATGTACTTTCTTTATCAGTATATACAGATCTCATATGTTAGCTCAACCAAGTGTACATACTGCACAGTTCTTCTGCATTGCAAGCCTCGTTTTAGTGCTTATGTTACAGAGGAAACATGCTTGGCTTGCCATATGACATTCAAAACACTGTCTGGGGGTTTATTGCTTTAGAAAGCAGAAGAACTGAATTAGATGTGGGAGTCGATTCCTACAGACAATTTGCCACAAGCAACTGTTGGCCCGCTTGAGAGAAAGAGTTAGTTTGGTTATGCTGTTGTGTGTTTACTCAGCTATAGATATATAATATGTCTGTATTTTTTGTAGTGATCTTATCTCAGAAACTCACACATAGATGTGCACTGACAGACTGATATGCAAGAATGCTATACATAAAGATGACTCTCAGTCACGCTCTGCCAGCTTTCCTGACAGACTTGCTTTTAGAGTCAATATTTGTTTTTATGTCATTCTTTTGGAGTTAAGTCATGTTTTTAGAGTAAAGCTATGTTTTTAAGTCTTGTTTTTGAAGTCATGGTTTGTAAGCCAAAATTGACTTTTGAGTCTAGTTTTTGGAGTCGAGTGTTGTTTTGCATTTAGGATTTGCTTTTAGTCTTTCTTTTGGACTCAAGTTATGTTTTTACATCTTTTTTTTTGGGTGGAGGGGTGTAAAAATAATTTTTTTAGTCTTACTTTTGGAGTAAAATTGTTTCTACAAGTCTTGTTTTTAGTTTTGCTTTTAGAGTCAATTCTTGTTTGTTTTTTTGTTTTTTGAGTCAGAAGTCAAGTCTTGTTTTAAGTCTTGTGTTTGGATTCATTTCTTGTTTTTTTAAGTCAAGTTATGTTTTAAGTCTTGTCTTTGGAGTAATTTCTTGTTTTTGAAGTCAAGTCTTGTTTGAAGTCTTGTGTTTGGAGTAATTTCTTGTTTTTGAAGTCAAGTCTTGTTTTAAGTCTTGTGTTTGGATTCATTTCTTGTTTTTTTAAGTCAAGTCGTGTTTTAAGTCTTGTCTTTGGAGTAATTTCTTGTTTTTTTAAGTCAAGTCATATTTTAAGTCTTGTCTTTGGAGTCATTTCTTGTTTTTTAAGTCAAGTTTTAAGTCTTGTGTTTGGAGTCATTTCTTGTGTTTGGAGTCATTTCTTGTTTTTGAAGTCAAGTCTTGTTTGAAGTCTTGTGTTTGGAGTCATTTCTTGTTTTTGAAGTCAAGTCATGTTTTAAGTCTTGTTTTTTGGATTAATTTCTTGTTTTTTTAAGTCAAGTTATGTTTTAAGTCTTGTGTTTGGAGTCATTTCTTGTTTTCAGAGGTACATTTTTATTTAATGTCTTGTCTTTTTATTTCTTTTTTTTTAAGTTAAATTTAGTTTTTTAGTGTTGCTTTTTGAGTCAAAATTTTTTAATGTCTTGATGTCAAGATCTATCATATGCAAACAAACTAAATGTTTGGTCTGTTTTATTTGAGCTTTCTTGTTAGTGTAAAAAAATTAAATGAACAAAACACTGAAGTAAAAAAAATATATACATATAACAACAAAATCAAAGTTTTACAAAAGCAAATAGACACTTTACCATCCCACATACTAATTTGATCAAACAAAGACAGGAAATATTCAGCAGACCCTTCATCGTCTGGAGAAGTGGTGAATACAAAATGAAGTCTCCTATTGTGACGGCTGATTTGTTTTCTTCTTCTACAGGTGGGGCACACAAGGAGATTTCACCACCACACACCCCCTGCCCGTGGTCAAAGTCAAACTCTTCACCGAAAGCACCGGAGTCCTGGCTTTGGAGGACAAGGAGCTGGGCCGGGTGAGGTCCACCGCTGAGGTTTACATCAAGCTACCTCTGTGTTCGATCTGCACAACATGCTCAATTATTGGGTGATGTTGTGGGAACAGATGTTCTGCACACAGTGCGTGCACATATGTTTGTATGTGTGCGAGGGGAAAGTGAGCTACAGGCGAGGAAATCTCTAGTCATTAGGGCTCACGCTCCTAGAGTAACAGATGGAGACTCCCCATTAGAGACTCGCGCCAAACAGACTGCACCTCCTCCATCAATTTTCTCCTGCCGTCTCTCCCTGTTCATCAGTCTAACCATCTTTTTCTCTCGTCTCCCATCATCCCTTTCACACCTATCTGCAGCTGCCTGTCCAGGTGTATCGGTCTTAATAAAGTTTCTCTCGTTCTGTCCAGGTGGTTCTTCACCCCACCACAAACGGGCCCAAAATGGCAGAGTTGCACAAGATGGTAGTGCCTAAGAACAGCCAAGACGTGGATCTGAAAATCAAACTGGCGGTTCGCATGGACAAACCCCCCAACATGAAGCACAGCGGGTACGTCTGTAATGATGCTCAATCCTGACCTCCAGGATCTGAATACGTACTCATGTGCTATTATATAGAGCCATGAGAAGAGAGAAAAACAATGCACGAATGAAAACTACAAATAGAAAATCCATGGATAAATAAGTTTTATTGAATAATATACGGGTCATTTCTCACAGGTAGGAAATAATCAGCATTATTTCAGCATAAATATAGAATAAATATGTAAGTCTTAAAATAAACTTGTAATGGTATGTGTCAGTTTGTGTGCGTGTGTGTATATATATAGTTAGCATTTGATTGAATGGGAAAAAAACTAACACCATTTGGCTGGAAGCAAGTTTACATGAATGAGGTGCTTTGGACAAAATGTGGTTATAGTGCCACCTTGTGTTCATTTATTATTTTTGTGCATCTCCTCATCTCACACATTACGTTTCCTTGGACTTCCAGGAGCCTCTCAGGAAACAGTATCTTGTCCCTAGCTTGTAACACTCCAAAGAGAAAGGAAAACTTGAAATCGCATCATATGATCCCTTTAAAGGATGTTCACTTTCAGAATAAAAATTCCTTAATAATTTTCTCACCCCCATGTCATCCAAGATGTTCATGTCTTTCTTTCTTCAGTCACAAAGAAATACATTTTTTTTGAGGAAAACATTTCAGGATTTTTGTCTATATGGTGGACTTCAATGGTGGCCAACAATTTGAACGTCAAAATGCAAACTTTTGAACGTTTCAGTGCAGCTTCAAAGGACTCTGTACACGATCCCAGCCAAGGAATAAGGGTCTTATCTAGACCCTATTATTTTCTGAAAAAAATTAATATTTATCCACTTTTTAACCACAAATGCTCGACTTGCTCTAGCTCTGCGATGCACATCTTCACACATTACGTAATCCTGTTGGAAAAGTCACACGCGGTTAGTTCTTCGTCTTTGTACTTCGTTTAAAATCTCCATCTCATTTTCTCCTCCAACTTTAAAATCATCCAACATTGTTGTTTTACCTTTTTTGTAAAGGGCATTTTACTTTTTTTGCATGTTCGCTTTGTAAACAATGGGTCGGTACTTCCGCCTACGTCGCGCATGATGATGCACATTTAATTTTAAATTTTAATTTATTATTTATTTGTATTTATTTATTTATTTATTTTCTAATTAAATAATAAATAATAAACATTCAAATAAATAGCAACATTTCATAAAAAATGACAATATTAGACATAAGTAAACAAACTTAATTATAAAGTGTGTTTATTTTAAATTTGCTGTTCAAGAATTCAGTTTTGGTATGTTTAAAAGCAACAAAATTACAAGGGAGGAGAAACAGATTACAAATTAAAATGTAAACAGTGTATATTCAAAGAGCAACATTGAAAACATTAAATAAAAAATTGGCACCGTTAAACAAGTAAATCAAATATTTAAAAGAAAGCATTGAAACAGTAGCTTTTTAAAATTTGCTGGTCAAGAATTCAGATTTGGTATATTTTAAAAGCAACACAATTGCAAGGGAGGAAAAAAATTACAGATCCTTCTGTCTCTCTGTATTTACTCATCCAGAATGGGCTCTGTCAGTTAATGCCAAAGTTCCAGTACCAGCTGCTGGGGTCCTTCCCTCAGCGGGACGGGGTCAGGGGTCAGATCACTGCCATCAGCCTGCTAATTACACAGAGGCCCTGTGTGCTTCCTCTATAGAACAGCTCCCTGAGAGGCCTGCTCTAATTGGCAGAAGCCTCTTCAACCTGCAATTACCTTTTTAACGGACCTCACAAGACATTGCAGAGGACCACTTACACGCTCAGACAGACACAAACTTAGACCATTCTCACACAGTGCTGAGACATATTGATAATCAAAGTTATATTAATTGTGACATTTTATTGATTTGCTCTAAAATAGAAACTCTAGTTACTTGCCTTCTTTCCATAAGACACTTCAGACAATATTTTTAATGAATAATACTTGAAAATAGTATTGTGGTGCATTCAAGTTGGAAAGATCACATCTATGAGTTGAACGCACATGAACGCCACAACAAATCTACAACAACTCTAAACTTACTTTTAGCGCTGAGGTTCAAAGTTTATGATATATATGTGAGAAAACAAGTCGGATGCAATGGATGCAAGTGATTGTAAATTTCATGGGGGGGAAAAAAAGAAGAATTTATGGCCACACTTTATTTTAAGGTCCAATTTTCGCTATCAACAAACCATTAACTATGACTTTTGCCTCAATAAACTCCTAATTTGCTGCTTATTAATAGTTAGTAAGGTAGTTGTTAAGTTCAGGTATTGGGTAGGATTAGGGATGTAGAATATGCTCATGCAGAGTATGTGCTCTAGAAGTACTAATAAACAGCCAATCTGTTAATAATAGGAATGCTAATATGCAACTAGTTATTAGTTAGAATCGATCCCTATACTAAAGTGTTACCGAATTTATTTACAGTAAATCTAAGTTGAATGTACAAAATACACTTTCCAATAAGGTTCCATTATTTAATATTAGTTAATGCATTAACTAACAATGAGCAATACATTTTCTAAAGTATTTATTAATCCTTGTTAATGTTATTTAATAAAAAAACATTGTTCATGTTAGCTCAAGCCCAGTAAATAATATTGATATTGATACAATGTTGAAATTAATATATTAACTAAGGTTAATAAATGCTTTAAATGCAGTATTTTCATTATTTCTTGTTAACTAATGTAGTTAACAAATGAAACAAAAATAAAAAGTTACCCAAATTGAAAATACAACACAAGAATATATGATTACATTTACAACAGATTAATCATTTAAATAAAAACATAAAAAAGCAACAACAAAAACTGATTTACATTCATTCATCATTTTGTAAAAATAAAAAGTAATTTGAAAAATATTGATACATTTGCTGAAAAGTTACATCGCCATCTAGCTCAGACCAAAGTGACTTAAAACACAGCTGAGCTGACATTGTAATTACGACTTTTTGACTTATAAATACATCAGAAGGATCATATTTACAAATGCAATGCTCATGAACGCCACCAAAAAGTCATTATTAAAGTAATTACAAGTGAGAAATTCTGATCTTTCTTTAAGCCCAGAGTTTCCCAGTTGGAAGCCTGTCAATGCGAAAGAAATGGTGGATAAAATGGATACAACGTCTTAAGGATAAATTTGTTGCAATTAATAAATGTTTTCCCCATTTACAATAAAATATGTAATTTGCATGCAAAAAAATAGTACTTTGATTGTACAATATATATAGATATATATATGTATATATGAAAACATAAAAACAAAAATCCAAAACACACCCCAATGTACACTCTTTATTCGTAATTTTGTAAAAGTAGAGTTTTAAAAAAAAAACATTGCATTGCCATCTTTCTCTGACCAAAGTGGCTTGGAACACATTTGACGTCATAATTACGACTTCCCAGGAGGACTTGAACGCAGCATTTGACTCGTGCAGCATATTCCAAATCACTCTAAAGCCACATTTGTGTGAGGAACAGGCTAAATTCATGATGCTTTTTGGTCTCATTTAAGATTTGTATGACCAAAATCGTACCATTTCAGTCTTAGGTTTTGTCCAATTACTCATATACCCACACACAAACACCTGATGACTGTCCCAGTGCATGGGAAGAGAGAGAGAGAGAGAGATCGGCAGGGAGATTTTCAGGTTGAGTGCACCCCATTAAAAGAAGCCATCTGTTTATCAGCAGAGCGACTGAAGAATTGGGAGCCATTCAGTTTTGTGGAGTGACCCCAGTCTGGCCCTGAGAGAGAGCCAGTCTGATCAGTCTGTCTCGGTCTCACTTATGCTCACTGCCTCTTTCTTTCTCTACCATGCTCCTTTTAATACTTCTTTTTGTATGCCTTTAAAACCATCTTTGCCCTCTTTCGTTTGAGGGCCAGGGCACACATTAAAGCCCTTTTTACACGTTTGCATTTTTCTCTCATAAAATCTCTTTTAACCTTACCCTTCGGTTACAGCCACACATCGCATTTATGAAATGTATGTTATTGCATGTGATATTTTATACTACCTATGCTAAAAGCGGTGAAGACCGAAAGATATAGCATTGTAATGAGAGTTTAATATACTGTTTTAGTATTATTTCTATACCTTTTTTGAATTTTCTTGTATTTTTAGAATTTTTTGTCATTTATTTATTTATTCATTCATTCATTCATTGTTTGTTTGTTAAGTTTTCTGGTCAGTTTTTTTTTTTTTTTTTTTGCAGTTGTAGTTTTAGTAATTTTAGTACAAAAAAAAACTAAACTTAAATTTATTTTGTGTAGTTGCCAAGGCACCATTTCAATTTTTCCTACAGGCTTTCCAAATTATTATTTTTTTGACTAATATTTCAATTTTTTTATAGTTTCAGTTAAGCGCAAAGAGCAAAGGAACAATGCACTGATAGCCACAAGAGTGTATTTCTATGCAAATCATTCATGATTCAGTTTTTAGATTTATTTTTATGTCCGTTTTAGTTTTAGTAATTGTAGTTCTTCTAAAGTATACATTTAGTTGGTTGCCAAATGCAGCATTTCTAATCGAAAATGTATATTTTATTTAATTTCAGCTTTATTTAAATTACTGAAAAACTTTTTAAAAATAGATTTAGTTTTAGATAACATTAACAACACTGGTTTTAGAGCAAAGAAACAATGTCCTGATAATTACAAGAACGCATTTCTATGCAAATCATTCTTTAAAATAATTTTTTAACATATATTAAGGCACTAAACTGAATGCCAATTTATTTAATAATGCCATTAGTTTAAAACCAGAGAAATCAGTTCTGCTTGTGTTTCACAAATGAGGCCCAATTAAAAATACTGCCATTCAACCACATGGGGGCACTGCAACCGTTGTAATAAGCACTTACATCTAACATGTAATGCCACTTTTTCCGCATAGTGATCTCTTAATATGTTTCATTTGACTTATTACAGTCATGTTGACATAAATTGTGAGGTTAACATTTGTATCGTGTTTAAAAGCTCAGTGCAATATCATAACTTGCATTGTGCAATTTATCCAAGTGATAAACCTATTGACTTTTCTCGGATGAGAAAAACAAGTTATATGTAAATTAAGTCTTTTTGCAAACAGGTTGAGTGCTTTCTACTGAGTAGGTTAGAAAAAAGAATCAATCATATCAGCTTAAGAGGATGAGTCTGACTTCGTATTTCAGTTTTATTTAGCCAGTGTTTTTAGCCAGAAGATTGTTATTATTATTATTATTAGTTGGCTGGAAAGTGCCTGCGGCGCGCGCGTTCACCTGGAGGTCATCTCGCCCGCCGTTATCTGGCCATTGTTGCCATCTAAATGGGATCATGTGTATCAGAAAGGTGTCGGAGAGTGAGCTGAAAATCACTTTCAAAAGTGGATGATTACCTCTGCCACATGTTAACCCAGATTGGCCCGCTTCCATGCACTCATTGCTCCCTCAACCTTGACTGGAGCTTTTCCCCCACAGGCGCTGTGTGTCCATTTATGAAGAATTGATTTCACCTCACCCATATTTCTGCACACATCCTTCCTTTTTGTTATAGTCCTAAGAATGTGCGCTTAATCAATAGCCGATGTTTTTTCCTCTCTGTCATTGAGTGAACACGACAGAATTCAGGCGTTTGGGGAATTAATGAATGATTGCAACTAAACTCTGTAAACTTTCTATAGGCTATGGGTTTTGCACCTTGGCTCAATGAATATGATGTTATATTTTAACATGATGATTTTTTAATCATTTCTGCTGTCGATTTGATTAATCCATGACACTCATCATAATGTTTGTTTTTTCTCTATAGGTATCTTTACGCTTTAGGCCAGAGAGTCTGGAAGCGATGGAAGAGGAGATATTTTGTGCTTGTTCAGGTGGGCAGATTTCCTAATTACAGCTTTATGTATCAATTTAATTCATTTGCTGAAAAAAAATTTTTCAAATGATTGTCAAAATAATAATATTTTATTATTATTACAAAATAATCAAAAATATACGTAAGTAGTTTTTTTTTCAGCAAATTAATTTTTGAATGTCTCATGCATTTTGTGTTTACAAATGTGTTTTTTGTTGTTTTTCTGAAGGAAAACAATTTTTTTTTAGTGTAAGAGTGCTGCACCATCATTGATTTAATAAAATAAATGAATAAATTACTATCGTACATAACTACCAGCCTCCTGAGATAACAGCGTCATTTTTGTGTAAAATATTTTATCAGGAAAAAAACCTGTTTTAAGGTAGGTAAGGTTTGATTTGTGATCGTGTTGAATGAATCAGCAGGTTATGTTGTTTAATTTGATGTGTAACACACACACACACACAAATAATAGCAAGAAATATAGCTAACCAGTCAGAGAACATTGTGACATAATTATTTTTAATTGGTACATTTGAGTAAAATACCACAGAATACACAATGCACAAAATTTAAAAATTCCATGTTTTCATTTGGTGTTACCATCATTTGTGACATAAATTACACAGTTTTTAAGCTCTGTGTAGCGTACAAATATAATAATATTTTATTACAGTTTAGGACGAAAAAAAAAGAGATTGTGTTAAGATGATTTCCTCTCTGTTCTGTTATTCAGGTGAGTCAGTACACATTTGCCATGTGCAGTTTCCGGGAGAAGAAGTCCGAGCCGCATGAGCTGATGCAGTTGGACGGGTATACGGTAGATTACTCTGATCCGCAGCCAGGTACACTCACACTTCAACACGAATGCCTTATTTATTAATGCTCATGTGGGCGTTTCGAATTTAGTTCAAAATTGGATGAATAATCATGGTTAAAATGAATTTCAGTGACCTCTGTCTTAAAATTTAATTTCACATTTGCTGCATTTGAAAGAGATGCACATTATGAACTTAAATGAAGCAGGTATGACTTATTGTAGAAAACCAGAATATGTTTAATTACAGAGAATGAAATTAGGTGGAAATAACATGTAAAGATTTAGAATATTCTGTATTAATAATAATAATGCAATAGTGTAGAGTAAAATAATTTTTTTATGTTCTTTTTATATATATATTTATATAGACAAATACATATTAAATGTATTATGAATATCTGTATTATGTTGAAAGTTAGATGTTAGATGTAATATATTTTATTAAAATATAAATATCTATCAAATGTTTTTGTGTGCGGGTCAAAGACGAAAAAGGGTTTAAGCATAAAAACAATAAGTGTAATACTGCTTTAAATTGTTGTTGTTGTTCCCAAAAAAATTTAAAAGTTTTCTGTTTAATTTTGTTGCAATTTTGTTTTTGTTTTTCCAAGCAAAAAATAAATATCATACATTTTCCATTGATTTACAGAAGACACCCACTAAAATGTAATTCAGTGTAACAATCTTGTCAGGCATATTTACAACAAAACTCAATTTATGACATATTAAAAGACTAATTACTTTCACCCCAAATACTAATCAGTTGTAATTTTATATTTTAAAAATTTGCCACTATCCTAGGTTTTGCCCAATTGTCAGTAATTAATTTTTTACTCATTTAAAACACAATAAAATTTAATATGCTCCCTTATTCTTTTATATATTTCAATATGTACAAGTCAGAATAAGCATGTTGTTTGAATTTTTACATAAATATTGTGTTACACTGAATGACAATGGAACATTATTTCAACCAAATGTTGACATTTTATTCTCCAAAAACTTACTTGAAACCTTTAAAATAGACACTTTACCTACATTTAATGTGCTTTCTATGGACATAAAATCTCTTTTGATGCGGACATCTTAATGTCTTTGACCCATGTGTGTGTGTGTGTGTGGTTTTTTTTAATGTTTATCAAAGTTCAAAGCAACTTTTAGATTATTTTGGTAACACTTTAGTAGTATAGGGACCAATTCTCACTATTAACTAGTTGCATATTAGCATTCCTATTATTAACAGATTGGCTGTTTATTAGCATTTATAAAGCACACATTCTTCATGACCATATTCTACATCCCTAATCCTACCCAATCCCTAAATTTAACAACTACCTTACTAACTATTAATAAGCAGCAAATTAGGAGTTTATTGAGGCAAAAGTCATAGTTAATAGTTTGTTGATAGCAAGAATTAACCCATAAAATAAAGTGTGACCATTCTTTTTTAGCATCAGCTGCATGAAACACATTATGATTGATGTGTAGATGCCTAAATAGAGCAACAAAACCACACATGAGTGTATTTCTTAGTGAAGTGTTCTTGAGAGAATTGACATGTATTAATTTGCTAAAACCAATCTCTGCAGGTCTTCAGGGAGGCAGAGCCTTCTTCAGTGCTGTCCGAGAAGGCGATCTGGTGGTGTTCGCCAGCAATGACGATCAGGATCGCGCTCTTTGGGTCCAGGCCATGTACCGTGCCACAGGCCAATCCTATAAACCAGTAGCGCCCACCCAGAACCAGCAGAACTGCAGAGGAGGGAACGCCCAAAAAGATGCCCCTGTGTCCTTACTCAGTATGTTATATGTCATACTAATATGATCCTAATAAGTGTCTTTTGTATTGTGATTTTCTTGATTTCAGACCATTTTTTTTTTAAATAAGGTGGGCTCTTTTTCTGCCACCTTCAGCTGTCCCCTCCTGAATGGACTTTGAAATTGGAGGTTGTGGTGGCCAACCATCGATCCATTGGGCCGCAGCACAGACACAGTCTAAACAAATGTCAGCGGGGGGCTTGAATAACCCAAACACTGCTGCTGAGTGAAAGGAGGAGCACTTACACAACTGAAATGTTACAGTTTGCTCACTTTCAACAAACGGAGAGTGAGCCGAATGAGGTTCATGTCATTATCGCCTCTGAAGAAGCGTTCTGTGAGCTCCAGGGCATTCATTTAACGTAAAAGCTAAGGAACATGGCTTAAAACTAGCATTTCGATTTATAAATCTGCTCATATACAGTATATGTATAAAATCACTATAAAGATTCCCTTTTGAGTGCTGATGGTGATTGTGAACATGAAAACAGGCTTTTATGAGTTAATAATGTGCATGTGCTGGCACTCGAATTCACAAGCGCCGCCATTTGACTTTGATAAAATGTTTTTCAAGGTCTCTTCCCTCTTGTCTTACTGGACCTCATACACATCTTTTCATGCCTCAGAGGTTCAATGCAAAAGCCACCTCGAATGATAACGAATTGTTTGACAAAGAACATGGAAAAGTTCCTCAGATCGCCAAAACGTATCATCGCAGCCACTGATAACTGTAGTATTCGGCCAATTAAAAGCTCATGCATTCTTTCAGAAATACTTTTCATCACTAAATGAATCCAACAAATTCACCTAAAATCCAGTCCCATTTGACGCCTGTTAACAAAATCCTCCACATTTCGGCGAGTCGATGAAGTTATTAACTCGTCCTGACATTGGATTTCCTATCATGGATTGATTCGCAGAGATCTGTCTCGCCGCCTTACGCTCAACACTACCCGGAGTCCTCTCATAGCCAGATCGGTGTTTCATTTCTGAAGGAACACCGATGTCTTGTCCTGCCTCATTAGTCTTTCCGACTCCAGCTGGATTCACTTGAAGCGACCCGCCGAGCCGTACCTGCGATATCGCCCCCGCTGCCATGTGGATACCTGTCATAAAGCTCCCGTCTGCCTTGTGGAGAGATGTCAGATGGATGTGACTGCTGGCGTGACCGCCTGGACCGGGCCCCTTCAGCTGGGATTAAAGACGATGCACCCCCTCCGCACTGACTCCATCCACTTGTCCATGGATAATAGCGGTAACTTGAAGTTGACACGGATCAATGTGCTGCTCCTGTCAAACCCCATCCGTCAGACTCTCAACGTGGATCAATACCACGCTCCTCTTTTGTCTCTTTTTTTCTCGATGTAACGAACGTAAAATGACCTACATCGAATTAAAAGAACAGACAATGGGCCGACGCTTGTCGATTGGGAGATGGTACTTCTGAGCACCCAACAAGTGATGTTTTGGGGGGAACCAACAAATGCCCACACTGCTTCCAGGCAAGAACGGGGCTTTTCACCATCAATACCAAGTCGTTGGCATGCCAGAAATGGCAGCGTTAATAAAAGCAATCACTAATGCTCGTCTCAAGAAGGTGCCGCTGGCCATGGAGGCGTCAGGAGATGCGTCTCAAAAGCCATGGTCTTTTGTGGTGCTTGAGAAGCGAAGGCCCTCGCTCCGCATATGTGGGCTCTCAACACGCCGCCAGCGAGTGTTAGGCTTTTCACGGACCTCCCATTAGCCCAATTTGAGGACGTTCATGAAAGGACTGGAAATGAACTTGGACACACTTTTAGTGCTTTCTCCTGCTTTTTCTGCCTCGCGTCTTTCTCTCGGCTCCTTCTTTCTCTGACTTGCCCTGACCCCGCGGCCCCTTCGCAAGGTTTTTTTTTTTTTTTCCCCGCTCCCGCATTCAATTTCCCCCCGTTCCTCTGCGCCCAAGCCATGTCAGGGGGAGTCTGAATGCGAACGTCGGCGAACGTGCGCCTGCGTTCGTCCTAATTACAGCGCTCTCACAAAGGTGCGCTCCTTTTACTCAAGGTCGAGAGACTCAATCAGAACGAGTGACATCACTTTTATACAACTCACCTGTCTTCACCAGTCACCGAAAAAATTGCTTTAAGTGCTTCGAAGTCACACGTTATTGTTTATATTCTGTTTCCACACAGCTGCATTTTAAGCGTTTAATGCATTAAGATCAGAACATTCAGCCCGTTGCAGCTCAGTGAAGGCCACAGGGTGTTTTTTTTAGCCAGACCTGGCCTTTATTTTAAAAGGCTGAATGCTGGTTTGAATGCGAGAGGTGTTCGATTGATAAATTAGAGCACTTTGGTGCTGATATTTATTTCAGTTTACAGCCACGCTTTACTAACGTTTCAGAGCGCCTGCCAGCTGAAATGTGGAAAACTGAGTTTCACAGTGTAGCTTTGGCCAAAAGAGGTGAAATGCAAACACTCAGGCTGTGTACGGAGACGGCGAGTGTGTAACCAAACACAGATTTCAGGCTTTTACACAGCGCTTCAAGGTGTGAACCACACTTGTGTTCCACTATGGTGGCTTCATTTGAATAGTAGTACATATAAAATTGTTTGCGATATTTGTTTGGCCTTTTATATAATGCTATTCTGCTATTTAGTAATAAAATGTTTGTTTCATTTGCCCTAATGGACATCTTTATGTATTTACAGCACAAACAGGCATTAACTGGCCATCTCTTGTGGTAGGGATGGGATTTTCAGCACAGAACGGTGCCGTATGCCAGCGCGTGCCAGATTTCTGACTGTGTGTGTGTTTCTGGTGCAGGTTTGGAGAAGACTCAGAGACAGGGAGTGGAGGAGCTCATCTCTGCCATGCCCTGCAACTTCGACCATGCCAGCCTGTTCTTCATCCTGCAGAAACACACACTCATACACCGCATGAACGACTCCTTTTCCTGCCTGGTGAGAGCACAAAAGTGTGTTGCGATGGAAATGATGTGGTGTTATATGAATAATTACACTTATTATATAAAATGTGTTTTTGTTCAGGTAGTTAGTGATTCTTCTGAACAATTCTGGTTCCTTTATGGTCCCAACTTTTTTGTACTTTCAAGAATGAAATATTTGTTAAAGACAGTCAAGATAGAATTTAGGTAATAAGTAGTGCTGTCAAACGATTAATCGCGATTAATCACATTCAAAATAAATGTTTTTGTTTACATATTGTATGTGTGTGTACTGTGTATATTTATTATGTATGTATAAATGCACACACATACAGTATACATTTTGAAAATATTTACGTGTGTATATTAATATATTTATGTTTTTCTTAAATGTATACATGCATGTGTATGTATTTATATATATATATATATATATAATAAATATACACAGTACATACACACATATTATGTAAACAAAAACTTTTATTTTGGATGCAATTAATCGTGATTAATCGTATATGACAGCACTAGTAATAAGTAATTGTAACATAAATGTACAAATGTATGTGTTTGACTTGTAAAGAATAGTTTGTTTGGGAATCGTTTGAACTGCATTGGTTGTGCTATATGGTTTTGACTCACTAATAAGAAATGACTCATAATAAACAAAAACTTTTATTTTGGATGCAATTAATCGTGATTAATCGTATGACAGCACTAGTAATAAGTAATTGTAACATAAATGTACAAATGTATGTGTTTGACTTGTAAAGAATAGTTTGTTTGGGAATCGTTTGAACTGCATTGGTTGTGCTATATGGTTTTGACTCACTAATAAGAAATGACTCATAAGTATCATTCATTTATGAATCTGTTGGACTAAATTGTCGTGCAAAAAGGTTTTTTATACCGTTGAAAAAAAACGGCTAATCAGAATAATTCGTTCTGCAATAGTTTGGACTGCACTGGTTGCACTACGTTTTTAATAGCTAAAAATAACTGATTCATGAGAATTATTTGTTCGGGAATTGGTTGAACTACATTGGTTGTGCTATATGGTTTTGACTCACTTATAAGAAGTGACTCATAAGAATCATTTATTTGGGAATCAGTTGGACTACACTAGTCATGCTGAATGTTTTTTATTCACTAAAAAGATGGCTCATAAGCATCATCCGTTCAGGACTACATTAATCATAAGGAAATTATTTACTTGTTCTGGAATCATTTGAACTACATTGGTTGTGCTATATGGGTTTGATTCACTAATAAGAACTGCCTAATAAAAATCAACCATCATCATATGCTGGCTGCCCTACAGTTTTGATTTACTGAAAATAACAGATTTGTAGGAATCATTTGCTCAGCAGTTGATTTCGCTACGCTGAATACACTGTATATTTTTTGATTCATTAAAAAAACTGACTCGAGAGTCATTTGGGAATCACTGTTTTTTCGTAATCATTTGTTTGGGAACTGGTTGGGCTACATTCGTTGCAATATATGGTTATAAACAGTTGTTCAATTGAATTGTTTTGGGGACACTGGATGCACTGTATGTTTGTGATTCACTAAAAAGATCCAGATCATACGAGTCATTTGTTCAGGAGGTGGACTACACGGGTTGTGCTGTATGTTTTTGATTCACTAAAAAGATCCAGATCATTCGTTCTGGAATCGGTTGGACTACACTGGTCATGTGGATGGTTTTGATTCATTATAATGAACCAGCATAGAAGAATCATTCTTTCAGGAATGGTTTAGACTGCACAGGTTGTGCTGCATGGTTTTGATTTACTTCATTAAAATTATTCTTTGTTAGAATCATTTGTTTGGGAATCATTAGTCTCTGTATGTTTTACATTCATCATTATTACAGAATTAGCATAAAAAGTCTGTTGATCACATTCAGGTCATGTCATAAGTGAGTGTGTGGTGTGTTGGTGAAAATATTAGATATGGGAGGGGTTTCTATGACTGGAGGGGAGGGTTGTAGCCCTCCGGCTGAGTCAGGGCTCACGGTTAAGATGGGGATAAACACTTCCAATCAATACAACCCAAATAGGAAAACCATCCGCTTGCATCCCGTCTTCTCCATTTACTGCCTTGAATAAAAGATCCCTGCTGGGGACTGAGTATGTATGTTTATGTCTATGTGCGTGTGATGAAATTGGAACAGTTGTGAGGCACATATACGCGTGAATTGTCCCCAATAGACTACAAGTTGGGTGGAGGTACAAAACACAGTTAATGGTGCAAATTCAATGCTAGTTTTTGTATATATAACTCAGTACACAATATATAGTAATATGTAGTTGTCATTTTTCCCCATTTGCTGTTAACACCCTCATTGTGGCTCCGTACCTGCTCTGAGTGAGCACCTTCTGTTGTCCATTCAGCTTCTGAATGACTCTGTCTGCGTTTGGCTCTTTGTGAAGGCTCTACAGCCTTTGTTCAAACTTCTGTGTTCGGCAAAAAGAGAGCCACAAAAGCCACCTGAATGTGCTGCTTTTCCCATGCCTTCTGGGATGTGACATCTGTGGGGGAGTGGGCCTGATTTCGGGCAAATGAACAGAGGGGGAACGGGATTTTTCAGTAAACCACATGCATACTATGGTTGCCTACAAAATGTATCTTGTAGATTATGGGTTAAAATGCAATAGAAATCTTCAGACTATCCACAAAAAAAATAATTTTCAAGCATCAGCCACTCTTGTTAACCTGCTAGTTTCAAACGTGTTTCTTGTAACTTTATATGACGTTACATGCTTGTTTAAAAATTTGTTACATGTTACCATCTGGCCACCCCCCCCCCCCCCCCCCAAATCATAACTAAATCAATTATATATTTAAATGTTTAATGTACAATTTGTATAACACAGCAAATGCAATTTCTGGACAAAGCCTTCAAGTCTCAGATTTTCAAGCTCATTCCAAAACTCCCAATCAATACATGTAGCCTCAAGAAAAATCAATAAGTGATGCTGTTGTAAAGCATAACTTTTTTTTTTTTGCGTCAGCTGTCCTTTGATACAGGGATTAGGCTCAGTGAGCTGTTGGTGATTCAAAGACCAATATTTGGATTTTTTTCTCTTGACTACAGGGAGTGTGTACACTGGATTCATTGGACTGCATGTGCGTCTTCAGAAGCGACTCAAAAAAAAAAATATTTTTGCAATCAAAAAGTTCAGACTGTGAATGTGTCTTCAAATTAGGGGCAGTGATGACCAGTCATGCTCCAACCTTAATGTAATTACTCGCATCCCCTTCACCCTCCATCCCATAATCACACATTCTCCCCGTGACACACTCCTCCACATTCACCCTTATAAACAACCATAATGGCCTCTAGATGGGACATAAAAAGCTTTCTATTACCATCAGTTACTGCTGGAAATAAAGTGATTCAGGACTTGACCACACAAGAGACACATATGAAACTAAAATCATTTGAAAAATTTAAACACACACACACACACATACATAGTCATACACACTTTGTGTGTATTTTATTTTTTCACATTATTTTAGTTTCATACATGTCTTATGTGTGTGTGTGCATGTGCCTGAGTGTGTATTTTTTATATATATTTACTTATTTACTTACTCTGACAACAGTAAATACCTCAAGTATATACAGTCATATAATAGATATTAATATATAGTCCTATTTCCTTCTTTTTTTTTACCATGCAGAACCTAAGTTTGTTTCTCTCAGTAAACTTTTCTTGTATAATGTGTATTAAGCCAAAAAACTAAATTGGTTTTGTCGTCCACAAGCAAGGTTTTGTCGTCAGTCTCTCCTTCTGTGTGTGTGTGTGAGATTTTTTTCCCCCGACAAGGAGAGCCAGACTGGGCCGTGTTCGTTAGGATGATGCTGCTGCCGTCTCAGTCGGTCGTTAGCGGTTAATTGAGCGGTAGGAGCCAAGACACGAGCAGGCCATCTGTTTGCCAGAGTGGAACATCTTGTGGCACTCGGCTCGGCGCTGGGCCACCGTGCCTCAGCCCTGAATGGTGCAATATTAATAGGTCTGACCAAGACGGGAAGAGACGGACTGTGACAAAGAAGAAAGTCGCAGGGAAAAAGTGGAAAGATGGGCAGTAGCTCAGGCCTTTTTTTTTTTTTTTTCGCTGGACCAGTTGGGGAAGTAGTTCAGATTTGCACTTGCCCTGACAATATTTCCACTAGCTCCAAAAAGTTATACTTTTTTTATTTAGCATTTCAATTTTTTTTAGAACTCATAAATTATTTTTTGCATGTCACAAAGAAATATTAAAATATTAATAATAAATAGTAATATAAGAAATATTAATAACTAAAAGAAGAGTACAGCAACATATTAGCTTTTTAAGCAATAATATCTGGGAATTATACATTTATGTCCCTCCATGACACGGAAAAAAAATCATAGTTTTATTTGTTTGTAATTAACTTAATAAATCTTTGCCTGTCACAAGTTATTGAAGCAATGCAAGTGCCCAAAATTAACCAAATTTGTTTTTAGTGTTCATAAAACTTGGGGGGGGGGGGGGGGGGATTTTTTTTTATTTTTTTTTTTCCCTCTTTTTTTTTTTTTCGTGTGAGCTGTAACCCTCGGAGGCAAGTCATTAGGGCTTATACATAACCATCTTTTTTTTTGTGTTTAGAGAGAAGGGGGGGGGGGGGGGGGGGTTAATTTAATTGTAATTATTTTTTCCCCTCATTTTCATTTAAGATGCATAATATTACACTGTAAAATTATTGTTTTTTTTAAAGATAATTGGAGTATAGAACCATTTCAGGAAATAGCAAATAGTATGTTTTCTGAAATATATTAGTTTTTTTTTTTTTTTAAATATATTTTTAGAAAAATATTTGAATGTAATAAAAAATCTAATATTTTTATGTTTTTTATTATGTTGTCATGTTTTTATTGTGTTAGTTAGCTGTATTTTTTAGTTTTTTTTTACCTAATCAAAATAACCCTACTGTGTCACTTACAACAGCGAAATGAAAAAACATGATTTTTGAAAATT